TCTCTACGCAAACCTTCTTTCTTGCAGCAACAGAGGTTTCTTCATTAATCTTCCTCTTCCTGGTTATAGAAACAAGGACATCTTCATTTGTTGGATGCAATGACACTTACCAAGTGACAAATGCGTACACAACATTGTATTACAAGGTTACAATGTTATTTAGTTTATTTTTAAAATCACAAATGAGTGAACAAGGTCACAACTCACACCCTCAAGAGAGTTGTCATAGATGAAAAAACTCATTTGACGTTGATAAGTTATAGTTGTGAAGATATTTACAATAGCATCATACTTACATAAAATTCTATGTGAATGTGAGAATTTTGCAAAAGGCAAGTATTGCAGTGATTCTGTTAATTGCTTAACTTTCTTATGGCAGCAATTCTAATTGCAATTCAAATTAGTAAACCATAACATTTAACAAATTTAAACCATATATTCAGATTGTTCTTACAATCCAAAAAATTCAAATTGCACAAACCAACAAGAAGAAGAGAAAATATCGGTACACCATCTATACAAAAGGAATCTTATTATTGCTACCAATGCTAAATGGCATCAAGAATAGAAAAATCAAAGTGATTATTGTATGGATCCCAATGAAGGCCTATCTCATCCCATTTCTTTAAGCCTCTTCTTGATACTAAATCTTTAACTCAATTCCAATGAAAACATAGCTTCTTGAAGAAACCCATTTCTTGAAAATTAAAGAATGGATGGAGGCAGTGTTCACATCCCAAATCTCAACTTGAACACCTTTTTCACATCACCACCAACACTGGCACCACCAAATTCTCAGCCAAATCTTTAGGGAGCAAGAGCCTGCTCATGTTGCCAAGATCACTGCAATTGAGGACTTTCTTGATCTTCCAGGGATCATCAAAGAACATCAAATCGGTTGAGTAACCCCAACTTCTCTCTACGCAAACATTCTTTCTTGCAGCAACAGAGGTTTCTTCATAAATCTTCCTCTTCCCGGTTAAAGAAACAGAGACATCTTCATTGGTTGTGCTGCAATGACACTTACCAAGTGACAAATGGGTACACACCATTGTATTACAAGTTTACAATGTTATTATGTTTATTTTTAAAATCACAAATGAGTGAACAAGGTCACAACTCACAGCCTCAAGAGAGTTGTTATAGATGACAAAACTCATTTGATGTTGATAAGTTATAGTTGAGAAGACATTTACAATAGCATCATACTTACATAAAATTCTATGTGAATGTTAGAATTTTGCAAAAGGCAAGTATTGCAGTGATTCTGTTAATTGATTAACTTTCTTATGGCAGCAATTCTAATTGCAATTCAAATTTGCAAACAATAACATTTAACAAATTTAAACCATATATTCAGATTGCTCTTACAATCCAAAAAATTCAAATTGCACAAACCAACAAGAACAAGAGAAAATATCGGTACACCATCTCTAAAAAAAGAATCATATTATTGCTACCAATGCTAAATGGCATAAAGAACAGAAAAATGAAAGCGATTATTGTATGGATCCCAATGAAGGCCTATTTCATCCCCTTTCTTTAAGCCTCTTCTTGATACAAAATCTTTAACCCAATTCCCAATGAAAACATAGCTTCTTGAAGAAACCCATTTCTTGAAAATTATAGAATGGATGGAGGCAGTGTTCACATCCCAAATCTCAACTTGAACACCTTTTTCACATCACCACCAACACCGGCACCACCAAATTCTCAGCCAAATCTTTAGGGAGCAAGAGCCTGCTCATGTTGCCAAGATCACTGCAACTGAGGGATTTCTTGATCTTCCAGGGATCATCACAAATCATCAAATCGGTTGAGTAACCCCAACTTCTCCCTCCGCAAACCTTCTTTCTTGCAGCAACCGAGGTTTCTTCATAAATCTTCCTCTTCCTGGTTAAAGAAACAGAGACATCTTCATTGGTTGGATGCAATGACACTTGCCAAGTTGCAAATGAGTACACACCATTATATTACAAGGTTACAATGTTATTTAGTTTATTTTTAAAATCACAAATGAGTGAACAAGGTCACAACTCACAACCTCAAGAAAGTTGTCATAGATGACAACACTCATTTGACGTTGATAAGTTATAGTTGTGAAGACATTTACAATAGCATCATACTTACATAAAATTCTAAGTGAATGTTAGAATTTTGCAAAAGGCAAGTATTGCAGTGATTCTGTTAATTGATTAACTTTCTTATGGCAGCAATTCTAATTGCAATTCAAATTTGCAAACCATAACATTTAACAAATTTAAACCATATATTCAGATTGCTCTTACAATCCAAAAAATTCAAATTGCACAAACCAACAAGAACAAGAGAAAATATCGGTACACCATCTCTAAAAAAAGAATCCTATTATTGCTACCAATGCTAAATGGCATAAAGAACAGAAAAATGAAAGCGATTATTGTATGGATCCCAATGAAGGCCTATCTCATCCCCTTTCTTTAAGCCTCTTCTTGATACAAAATCTTTAACCCAATTCCCAATGAAAACATAGCTTCTTGAAGAAACCCATTTCTTGAAAATTATAGAATGGATGGAGGCAGTGTTCACATCCCAAATCTCAACTTGAACACCTTTTTCACATCACCACCAACACCGGCACAACCGAATCTCAGCCAAATCTTTAGGGAGCAAGAGCCTGCTCATGTTGCCAAGATCACTGCAATTGAGGACTTTCTTGATCTTCCAGGGATCATCACAAAACATCAAATCGGTTGAGTAACCCCAACTTCCTCTCCGCAAACCTTCTTTCTTGCAGCAATAGAGGTTTCTTCATAAATCTTCCTCTTCCTGGTTAAAGAAACAGAGACATCTTCATTGGTTGGATGCAATGACACTTGCCAAGTGACAAATGAGTACACACCATTGTATTACAAGGTTACAATGTTATTTAGTTTATTTTTAAAATCACAAATGAGTGAACAAGGTCACAACTCACAACCTCAAGAGAGTTGTCATAGATGACAACACTCATTTGACGTTGATAAGTTATAGTTGTGAAGATATTTACAATAGCATCATACTTACATAAAATTCTATGTGAATGTGAGAATTTTGCAAAAGGCAAGTATTGCAGTGATTCTGTTAATTGATTAACTTTCTTATGGCAGCAATTCTAATTGCAATTCAAATTTGCAAACCTAACATTTAAAAAATTTAAACCATATATTCAGATTGCTCTTACAATCCAAAAAATTCAAATTGCATAAACCAACAAGAACAAGAGAAAATATCGGTACACCATCTCTACAAAAGGAATCCTATTATTGCTACCAATGCTAAATGGCATGAAGAACAGGAAAATCAATGCGATTATTGTATGGATCCCAATGAAGGCCTATCTCATCCCCTTTCTTTAAGCCTCTTCTTGATACAAAATCTTTAACTCAATTCCCAATGAAAACATAGCTTCTTGAAGAAACCCATTTCTTGAAAATTAAAGAATTGATAGAGGCAGTGTCCACATCCCAAATCTCACCTTGAAAACCTTTTTCACATCACCACCAACACCGGCACCACCAAATTCTCAGCCAAATCTTTAGGGAGCAAGAGCCTGCTCATGTTGCCAAGATCACTGCAATTGAGGACTTTCTTGATCTTCCAGGGATCATCACAAAACATCAAATCGGTTGAGTAACCCCAACTTCCTCTCCGCAAACCTTCTTTCTTGCAGCAATAGAGGTTTCTTCATAAATCTTCCTCTTCTTGGTTAAAGAAACAGAGACATCTTCACTGGTTGTGCTGCAATGACACTTACCAAGTGACAAATGGATACACTCCATTGTATTACAAAGACACCTAGCAAGTGATAAATGAGTACAGAGATCAACGTTGTTGTCGTATGCCATTGTTGACAATAACACAATCTAGGTTTGGTTTCTTGAAAGCTTTAAGGTTTTTGTGTTACTTGTGTTGTGAGTGAAGTACATGACGAAGTTCCAATATATATAGAAGTTGGACCAGCTGTTTATGTAACGTTCTTATTCTGTTTTTTTAAATTTCCTTTTTTTCTTTTTTATTTTATCTATTTAAGTATAATTTATATCTTAAATAATTTTTATTTAAAATGTAGGAAAATACAAAATTAAATTATACGAGTTGAGTACTTGTATATTGTACAAAAAATTATTGATTGATTATAAAAATATCGATTCACATTCACTTTTAATTATTAAACTAAGAGAAACAGTAGACAACTTTCGAGTTTTTTCTTCTTCTCTACACTGTTAATATTAGCATTTTCTAGATTAATTGTTACAAAATATTAATAAATTTAAATATTTAGCATTTGTTAATAATAATAATAATAATAATAATAATTCACATGTAAAATTGAAAATTATCTCTCCCCTCAAGTGATTTTTAGGCTTGAACACATGATTTTTATTATTATTTTTTTTTGGTGAACATGAACACATTTTTAGGCTTGAACACATGATTTTTTTTATTATTTTTTTTTGGTGAACATGAACACATGATATTATATAGATCTCTTAACTACTGAACTCAAACTTGCTTATCATTTGCGTCGGCTCTTATTTATAACTTGACTAGACTTTTATTCTGACTAATTAACTTGATTTGTTATAAAGTGCATAATAATGCCACCAAAACAAGCATTAGATAAAAATCCGTCCCAACAACTTAACTTTATCTTTTACATTTTGTTTTTAACAATATATAGTGTTTTGTCTTCATAATTACATTTTTATTTTCAGTATAACGTTGGATGATCACCATTGATCATGTGAACTCAATCACATAATAATAATAGTAACACGTGTCATATATTTGTGGAGTCCACATGATTAAAAGTGGTCAAGCTATATCATTTGGTAGATAATTTTCAAACTATATCATATTGATAATAAAAAAAATTTAAAATTAAAATTATACTACTTTGGTCATTCTCCCTTCCGGTATTGGTAAAATAAATTAGTCTAACCATATAAAACTCCAAGTTGACAAAAAAAAATGATCAATTATATTATAACCAAATTTTCAATGGTCTTTACAAAGATTAATTCAATGGAAATCAAATATGGTTACTTGCACTGCTGTTTGTTAAAGAATCTATCAGAGAGAATTTTTTTTAGCAAACTTTTTAGCCTTCTTGAGGCTGGACCAGGGTTGAGGACACCATAATTCTCAGTTCTCAAACCTGAGCATGTTCTGTGTTTTCCACCCTGTGAGCACCATCCTCCAGAAGAGAATTTCCCATGATACCTCTTTAGAAGTTCTCTATCAATTTTATCAAGGACTGGATCATTTCTCTTGAATTTTCTTGCAAATGGACGGCTACTAAGAACCATTTTCCTATAATCTTTAACTCCTAGAGACCTAGGGTGTTGTTTTGGAGGATTATCCCAAGTAATGTAGTGAAGGTCATGGTTAGCAGTGGTGTTCTTGTAGTCTCCAGAGTTGCATATAACTGTTTGGAAATATCCTTCTGGAGATGAGACAAAGTTAGTGTAGTATAGGAGAAGGGTCCTTGGTAAATTTTCCCATCCCACAATGCAATACTCGGCAAAAGATCTTGATAGTATTGTCCAAGCTGAACCTGAATTTTTTGGACATTCAGAATTACATCAAGTTAGCTTTTGCAAAAATGTTATCAACATAGATTATGTCATACATTTTTAGAAGTGTAATACAATCTAACAATCTATAGCTTTACAACATTAAAGAGTGTACTTTTGCCATAGAAATTGGGCTAAAAAAGTCTAGATGGTTGTATCTAAACATCAAAATTATTTTTATAGTACTCAAGACTCTAATGCATCATTAACTAAAGATGTTAAAAAAATGGTACCATAACCAGAGATAGCACCACAGTTCAGTTGATGCAAAGGAGTTGAATGGGTAGGAAATGATCTCGGTTCGATCCCTATCGATACCATCTTGAGGAGGGACATAAAAATTTAATCCTTGACCCTCCTTGTACACGAAATTAGTCTCATAGCCGACTCAAATAGCTGAAGCTTATAAGAATATCCTGCAGAGCCTACTCCCCCAAAAGAAGTAATTAGGGCTTAAGGAATATTATGATATGCATCATCTAAACACTTAGGGTGTGTTTGGTACAAGAGAAATTTTTTTGTGTCCGGGAATCATGATATCTAGTAATATACAAAGAAATCCAATTTATCGGGAATGATATAAAAAAGTTGTTTGGTAGACATAAATATTATCGGGAATATTTAATAATTTTACTGAGTATATGTTTGGTTGTGAGTAAAATATTACTGGTAATAGATGTTGATTTTACAAAACTAACCTTAACTTTTCAATGACACCAGACCTACTAATTTGATGTGTGTTGGGAGTATTATTGTCTCAAAAATATGTTATTTGCTTTCCCTTCCCTCGGAATCATGAAAACCGCCTAATTTTTTGTAATCCAAACAGTAATTTTTCTTTGTAAAATGCTTTACCGGTAAAGCTTGGATATCCAGAAATTAATTTTTGATACTTCTACCAAATATGGGAATCGATGTTTACCAAAGAAGGTTTACATGCAAGAAGGCATCGTGCATGTGCTAGAATCAACAACCTTTCTAAAAGAAAGACATCGTGCATGTGCGTCCACTAGAAGTGGACACTGCACCACCGCCATGTTCCATGTACATGGCTTCTCCTCTGCTCTGTAATCAAGGAAGTGGCATTTGTATTTTCCAAATTTAAGCATAGGTGACCATTGTTATTTACAAGAAGCATTTTCTTTTCTTCCCTAACTTCCAAAATTTCAATGACCTCTCTGCATAGAAGGGACAATGTCTAGGTAGTATAACCTTGCATTTGTGTAACTCATATAAGTTTTAGGCTATTAGAGAGTGTTTGGTAGAGAATTTTTTTTGAGATTTCCAAGAAAGTGATAGTAATAATCTTATTTACCTACGTTTACTATAAGGTTTCTGGAAAAAAAAAAAATTGGAAATATAATTTTTCAGTAATTTGGTTTTGTGTACAATTTTTCTTCTAAAATATCATCCAAGAATACCCACCTTTGGAATCCCAGGTATTAGAAAAAATCTACACTTTTCTTTTAGACAAAATCCCAGTAATATTTTTGGCCTACTAAATAACTTTTTGGTAACATTCTCAAGAAAATGACTTTTTCACCATATTTTTGAGAATCGTGATGATTCTCGGGCATGAAAAAATTTATCCTCCCCCATAGATTAATAGATTTTTTATATATTTTATTTTATATTCAAATTAATAATTTAGAAAATGTCATCTGTCATATATAAACTTCAGATTTTCGTTCAAACTGCAGCAACTTTTTCAAAAATATTTCTCAAATAATGCAGTTTACAAAACTAATCTAATGGAGTAAGTCTTGCATCCTTAAAAAAAAAAAAAAAAAATCTCGCATCCTATGCGGGACTTCCCACGTATTGTTCTTGAAAAAAAAAAAAAATTAACCACAGTTTAATTTCATAACAATCGTGCATGAGAAGTATAATAGATTAGTGTTATAAAATTAACTGCAATTTAACCTTTTTAATTCACTACACGTTATGTATGAATAGAGAGCGGAATTCACTATATTAGATTGAAATTATATTTAAAAATAACATTACTTAAAAAAAATTAAAACTGCTACAAAAGCATCATTCACCTCATAAACTTGGGTATTCATTTCTTAGTTTTTATTTTTTATTTTTTCCATGTTCACTAAAATTCAGAGTCACGCGAGAATTAATCATAATAGCTAAATGTGCTAGAATTCTTTAGAGGGTAAGAGGAGGTTGTGGGGTTTCACTCGGCCGACAGGTAGGTAAAGTTCTTGAAGCCACGTTATGCACTTCAACGCCCAGCTAGCACCAACTAGTTTTTCTTTTTTCTTTTATTTTTATTTTTTCATGTTTTTTTGTGATAACACCACCAACCACTTAGTTATCTTCCATGACTAATGGGCAATAACTGAAAGGGACATTTTTGTTGCATCCACCAGATGATTGATAGTTCAATCCTAAATCTCAAAATTCAACCACAACATAAAACTTCTGATGGATTATAGGTTCAGATGTTCGGTTTGTGTTACTTTATTTGGCAAATTTTGACCTTTAGCATATTTAAAAATAATTTTTCTTGGGTGTTCTAATCCAAAATTCTCTAAAAGTTGATTATATTATAGAGATGTTAAACTAATATACACCAATAAGTAAATCAAGAGAGGATATAAATTAAAATAGAGATAAGATGTCAAAAAGGTTCAAAGATAGACCTTAACCGACCACAATAAATTATGACATTGATGTATGCACCATATATTTATAATATGGACAACTCACGTGTACACTACTCAGATTTCAGAGTATCACATGGTTCACATATATGCCATTTAAGTACTTGGTGAAGAAGGTAAAATACATATATGCGTGTAGTGAAGTGAATGGCACGATGCACTTTTACACACACAAAAGCAGAGTCCAGAATAAGCAAAGAGAGATTGAGGGGATAGAAAACCTGTGTAGAGTTTAAAAGATGTTGGCAAACTTCTCTGCTTAATGACCCACCAAATCTCTGATTTATTAAGGCTATAAAGCCCCGGGTCTATCATTATTGGCTTCCCTCTCTTATTCCTAAAAGTGGGTATTAAAAAAGTCATGATTTTGGGGGAAAAAATGAAGCATGAAATAGAAAATCTTATAAAGAAACAATATACCACTTACAGTTTCCAACCCAAGTGACTGCTATGTTGAATGAAATTGATTTCCCTTGGCAACTCAGAAAAGGCTTGGATCAGATCTGCAAATTTAAAGAGTGTTCATATTTCATATACCAATTTGTGACAATAATTCTTTATTAACTTATGCAATCACCACTGGTAAGATTATTTCACAAACCCAATAAAAGAAAGACTTGAGTGAAAAACAAGTAAACAATGCTTTCTACAAATAAAAAAAATGCATAGTGATTATTATTCAATTGATATCTAACATTTAAGGCCACTCACCATACCATCTTGTGTAACTAAGGGATAATCAGATGCACTAAGATTAATAAACCAATCCCAGTGGCAAGTCCTCAGAAGAATTGCCATAGCATGGAGAGTGGTAGCAAGCATTGTTGGTCCTCTATAAGTGACCAAATTACGCTTCTCCACAACCCAAACATTCCCAACTTGACCATAAACAGGGTCACTGGCTATATATTCTGCCACATCTCTATGCTCAGATTCTGGAGCCCCATAATCCATATGAATCAAATAGTAATTCCCTGGATGATAGAGTGCCCTCAGCAACCTCTTGAGCTTCCCAGAATCTCCTTTGGATGCAGAAATCAAGTATGCAAAAGTAACCGGGTATGTCTTGTTGGTTTTGGGGACACTGAAGTAGTTCATAGCAGGCCTGAAGCTGGATATGGTTATGCTTAATCTAGTGGGGATAAAGAGAGAAAAGAACAACATTGAGGTTACCATGAAGGAAACCATGAAAATTTTGATACCCATATGAGAGAAAATTGCATAGAAAGTATAAAAAATAAAAATTTGTGGGAGAGAAAGTGAGAATGGAAGTTGGGGGGGAAATTGTTGAGTAATTAAGGGGAAGAGAGGTTGTTCAATGGTTAATGCTGAGACATTTGTTGGTGTTTGAAGATATTATGATTGGAGTGGGAATAGTGAGGTTTACATATTCGGGGTTCTTTTCTTTGAACTCAAGGCCTACATTTGTCAGTGCATTGTCGGTTGAGAACAAAAGAAGTAGATTCTGGTGAAAGCACTTAACACTTGGCACTAGTATTATTACTGTCTTGCTAGTTGCAAATTGCAATGTCAAAAGAGGTAGAGACTCATATTCTGTGTCACTTCCCATAAAGTGGAGAAGTATTCCTCAATGAAGTACATTTGAGCATATTTTGGTTTTTGTTACAATAATGTCCCTTGATTTTGATCCACTGCCTTTCTATGAGGTGAAATTACTAATGAATCTGTAGATGGGGCAATATTGAAAATGTCACACCAACTACCTCTAGCAAGATTATTGTATACATTGGATTTCTTCAATTTAAGGGTATTAAGTTAATAAAATATGAACTCATTATTAATATACAAGTTTATTTAATGAGAATTAATAATATGTATACAATATTTCTGTTAGCTCTATATCATCTCACTCAAATTAAATACACTTGAGTGTATATAAAAATTGATGTTAGCTCTATACCACTCAGTAAAAGCTACGTAAGAACTGCTAGCACAAGTGAAAACTTTTCCAAAATGGTAGAATGTTAAGTTAAAAGACATAACATCCTTTTCCATGAACTATATATGGTGGGAGACAAGTGTGTACCGCTGATAGCTCAAATTTATAACGTCATATTGCCTAATTTGCATTCTGAAACTTCTGAGTTATGTTGGCAAAAATAAACTTAAAACGTCATATATGTTCTGTTAGTCAAACGATTTCCTTAATGATATTATCTAAAGCTATCGTACGCACTTTTCTGTATGTTTAAACTGTGATAAAACTATTTGTGTTTTAAAAGGATATAAGTGATGTACTTTTAGTTTTTTTATTCTATATATTTTCGGTAGTAACTTTTTATATCATAACTATATACTTTCGGGAGTACATAGAGTAAAAAACTAAAAGGACACACATTTACATCCTTTAAAAAGACACACACTAAATCCTTAAATTGTAAACTTTGCTTCAGATCATGATTATATATATATATATATATATATATATATATATATATATATATATATATATATCATGGGATAGGTTATATTTATAAACTTTTTGTTTATAAATTTTAAAAATTACACTATGTACTCCCGAAAATACATTTCTAATAGAGTCTACTCTCGGGAGTACATAGTATAGTTTGTAAATAAAATGTTTGTAAATATAACTCTCTCCATATATTATAGTTGTTATCATTTTTTTTGTTTTTGTTTTTTCAAAAATACTCATTTAATTATCTTAAAACTTTAGGCATATTTTTTAATTAAGAAAAAAAAAACTTTCTTAAACAGAACACGAACGAACAAATCCTAGACCTCAATTACTTTCCGTCATCTAAATTTTCCTCACCCCTTTCGTAAATTTGTTATGTTTCATTGAACATTTCAATAATAAATTTGTTATGCGGAACCCCTTAATTTTAACAGTATGTTGAGTTGTTTACTAGCTAGTGTAATTGATGACCAGTTTGTGGGTGGACAACATTACACATGACCCATGTGAATTGCAGACCTACTTATGTTTTCATTAATCCATTGAATGGCCCATACTTGAAATATTGCATCGTTGAAACGCATACATTACTTTATTATCTTACAAGACTTTTTTGTTGTCAATTAATAGGGTTGCTGTATATATTTAGGCAGGTAGTGTTTGATCGTTAGTTTTGATGTCTTTATCCCTTTGCAAAAGAAAAGACAATTTGGTGGTTTTATACTTTTATTCGCATTTTCTTTGTTGGAAACCTAAACTACAGAGAAGAAACGTAAGCTTTGTTTAACATGAATCAAATCTTTATTGGTGACAAGTCATAGCAAAATTAAGGAAGACATTGGGAAAATATTAAATTAATCCGTGCTGTCTTTTGTTGATTGTACGTCTCGCAAACTTAACGATAATTTATTGGTGAAAATTATAAGGAAAAAAAGAAAGGGATCGGATATTATAACCATATTTTTTATGCCTATTCTATCTATTCCTTTTAGTGTTTTAAAAATCAGCTCAGGTCGACAGGGTCGACTCGGGTCTTGGTGACCCGGTAGGTTTTTCGGTCTGAGTAGTCATTGGACCGATTCTGCCGTCAACTCGGTTTGGACCGATTAACCTGGCCGCGACTCGGTGACCCAGTTAACCTGAGTTAGACCGGTTGACCCTCTCTTTTTTGTAAATTTGTTGTTTTTTTTTTTTGGCTGAAAACTCTTGAATTAAATCATACTCATATTTTGTGTTAAATATGATTAAAAAAGTAAGGTGAAAATAAGAAGGTATTTTGGATTAGTGCAATTCGTTTATATAATTTAGTTGCATTTTATAATGATCTCAAGAAATTAAGTGGGGATAAACACATAAACAATGTGATGGTCTCATCTCAACGGTGGACATTTTTTCCTTAGTGTATATTTCATACCTATAATTTGTTATCATGATTTAGTTTATCTGTGTTATGTTAAGGCACAAAATGTGCATTTAGCTTATATTGCAATTTTAATTCAATGTTAGGGTATGGTCTAGAGATAGAAGTCTAGAAGTATATAATATTTGCTATCATTGAGAACCAATTTATTTTTTGAAGCTCGTTGATAGTTTTCTTATGTGAATTTTTAATATAAATAATATGTTTATATTTTTTTAATATGTGAACAGTAAGTCCGGTTGAACCAATGATCCAGTACCCAGTATCTCGACCGAGTCGATGATCGGTCCGAGTTTTAAAACATTGATTCCTCTTCAATACTATTAAATCATAATATCAAGAGAAATGGTAAAAGTCAATTGAGATTGTGATCTAACAGTATTGGAGATGAATAGATAATGTAGGCATGAAAAAAGTAAGCATAATATTCTATTTTAAAAAAATAGTGAGAAACAATCAAATCATCCTTTCATTTATGAAAGGATAAATTTATATTTATTTTTGTGTTATTGTACTTTATAAATACAATGTGTCTTTATTTATTGAAAAATATTATGTAAACAATGAAAAATGAAACAAAAAGAGATTATTAACCTGCAAAATCATTGAATTGCATATGAATTTGTATACAGTTTTTTATGTGATCCTCTTTAAAGTGCTTGTCTATTTATTTACCCGAAAGATCCTTATTTTCTTTGAACCCTCTTCGTAAGGGATTAAGGCTACAAAATATACTAGCACAGGTGTTCTAGAGGTGGTCTGATAATGATCAGATGACTTCATATACTTTAACATTTCTTATGAATAATATTTTAGAGCATTTACTTTATCTGTTTCATATGTCTCTATTTTTTGTTTATTATTACTGTCTTACGGATAAAGGACCTTGGAATAATCAAGGTATATCTTGAGTATCTATGATCGATGAGATCATGATCATGATTCATGAGGGCTGAAATACACTATTTTGATTATTTGCTAGATATTGTTCTTAGTTGAGAGTCACCCAGAAAGGGCATTTGTCGACTCGATTAGACTAGTACAATATCAGGCTACTTACATGTGATGTAAGGTATCTCATGGATGCAGACATGGAGATGCCTTAGCTGATGTCATAGGTGGATTTGTTAGTGAAACAAATCGCACTAAACTGACCTGCCGAAAGACTCCTCATGGAATCATTACAACATGTATCATTAGATACAGTCTCTCATCATATGGTAGTGCGGATCATACTTAGACTTAAGGTTGTCATCGATTCTTGAGTCTAAAGGTCATACTTTGATTGTATAACTCTATCCGCCTAAAACATGGGTAGCACAATATACTCTTGGGTATGACCTAAAGGCATGAGTATTGATGGACAAGACGATAGGATTCATAATCTCTGTAAGAGATAAGTTATCCACAAGAGACCGGTGAGACTTGGATGACTTCCATCGTCCATTCAGCTTTAACTGCACAAAGTATTGGTAGTACTCTGTATGGTCATTAAATGAGTTGGGCCCATTAAAAGGGTTTAATGAGCCAAAGCTAATTCAACCATCAATATCATTTGGGTCTAATGGGTCACACACCTATATCATTTTGTTGGCTTGGACTAGCGTACGTGTTGTGCAATTTCGCAATCAATTATTTAATCACACAAGTATGTAAGTGCACGTATCAACAAGTAATAAAGTAGATATGTGAGTCCAAGTATCGATCCCACAGAGATAACATAAAGCTACGGCTCTGAGTGAAGTAATTAAGGTAATAATAATGATTTTTTATGAACTAATAACTAATTTAAGAATTAAGAAATAAAATAAGCTAAGACTAATTATGAACTAAAAGAATGTAGTAACAATATAAGTTTTCCAAGTATTCAAAGGTAGATTGGGATCAATTTTCCCATGTAGTTTCACCAGAATGCAGTCACAATGCTACAACAATCATTCATTCAGTAATCAAAACACTAATGCATGCAAGGGCTCTCACCAGTAATACTTGTATACTAGTTCCCATAACTCTATGGCTAACATAGTTATAAATCATTAAGTTCATGTTCTATGATTTTGTGGTGTGAATGATCTCTCTACCCACAATTAACCAATTTTTCTTAGTTAAACCACAATGTTTAATAACTTTCAGAATTCACCTATATATATATAGCCCAAATCCTTGGAACCTTGCAACTCTCTCTCGATGAATCAACAATATTAAAGACAAATTAAGCAATTTATTAAACAACTAAAAGAACAATCATGCAACAAAGTTTAGGCAACTGATTACATCACAATAAGGGCACTCTATCTCTCAATCCTAACAATTTAGCTCATACTTGAGTGGAAAGAAACAACAAAGAAAGAATAAGATTCCATAGATCTAAGATAAGAAAAACAGGAACGTTGTTGTGGCTCTGCTCTCACAGCAACCATGAGCTCCACCACCATCCACATTGTCTCAACCGCCGGAACAGTGCAGGAACTCACCGGATTCAATAATCTCTCTATTGAACCCTAGTTCATTCCTTTGATTCGTTGGATCTCTCTCAACAAACCCTCAAATTTTCTCTAAGTGTTTTCCCCACTTTCTCTCTCTAACAGCACTAAAATCTGCCTTCCAACCCGTGTCAAGAACCTCTCTAGCCTGCTTGGTGTGTGTAGGTTTCCTCTCTTTATAGACTCTGATGCATTAGGCTTCAATCAACTCTTCAAATCCATTGCTAATCACATTCGAATCTGCTCTAGGATTGATTGAAGATACTGTTCTATTTTTGCTGTAGATATGATGCAGGGACAAAGCATGATGCTACTGCATATCTTCTCCAAATCTTTTCAGATATATAATTCAGTTTTGAATTGGATTTTTTGGACTCTGATTTGTTGGAGATTTGATTAGAATTTCTTGAAGATATATGAATGATTATTCATATCAGAATATCTGTTTGCGCGCTCAGAAGCTTCCCTCCCTTAAGTTGGGCTTGGGTCCATAGCTTGATGGTGATTATGTCAACCAAATGCACCGTTGACCTCATCTTCAATGCTACAGCACTGTTTTTCGATGTTACAACACTGACCTGCAATAAAATAGCAAATGTAATAAATGGTTCAACACTCAAATTATCTTCAAATATCCACAATTAACATATTTCTCATTCAAATCATGAAAATATAAAATTCATGCATTAATCATATAAAACCAAGAGAATTATGTATATTCATGGCACCAAAACATCACAAATAAGCCTAAAGATAACTCTCTAATAGAGAGTTATCAATACGATTTTGGGCTTATAAGAGTATAATGTAGATATTATATGATAAGATCATGCAAGTTTAAAATGGGTCATGTGTTATAAACACATGAGCTTTAGTCCAACGGGGCGCAAACTAGCTAGGCCTAGGAAGCACTAACTAGCTTGTTATGCCATTTAAAGTTTGAATTAAATAAAGATTAGATCCTTATCTTAATTTAAATTATGAGTTAGAATTTAAATAGAATAAGGATAAGATAGAGATCTTATCATATGTTTAAAATCTGAATTAGGTCGAACTTTAAGTGTTCAAAAATATGAAATTTAAATTGTTTAGATTTCATTCTTATCTTAGAGCCTGTTTGGATGAGCTTTTTTTTCTTCAAAAGCTGCTTTTTTTTTCTTCAAAAGCTGCTTTTTTAAAGAAAAAAAAGCACTTCTCGAAAAAAATTTGTTTGGATGACTGCTTCTAAAAAAAGTAGAAGTCATAAAAAAAGTCAAAAACCTACTTTTTTCGGAAGCTAAAAATTTTAGCTTTAACAAAAAGCAGAAGTAAAAAGCGAAATATTTTTTTTCAAAAATCAAATATTTTTTAAAAAATCTAAATAGTTGTAACTTTTATAGAAAGTACTTTTAAAATAAGAAAGTGGTAAAAAGGACTTTCTTAAGAAGGCAATACAAAGGAGCCCTTAATGAGATTAAAATAAGTCCTTTTCAGCTTACTAAAAAAAAAATAAGTCCTTTTCATATAGGATTTGACTTGGTCAAATCCTTATTTCTAGTAGTCTTAGAATTTGAATTCAAAACTAGATGACTACTAGTTATTGAATTCAAATTCAATTTTCATTAAGGAGGGAGTCATAGTTCGACAATGACTTATTGGGTTCATCATTTTAAGAACCCAAAAGAGAGGCTTAGCCGAATATACAAAACCAAGGCAGTCGCGCAACTCTCCTTCTCCCTATCCCTCTCTTCACTTGCTTTCTAAGTTACACATTTAAGTAACTTGGATCCGAAGAAAACACCGTAATACATGGCAACCCCTCTTGTGCAATTAGCGACCATCCAAAGCAAGGAATTAATCCTACGAGAAGAGTTCTCACAGGCCATCAAGATGATCATAGTGTGGATTACCATTAAAGACAACCCCTTCCACGTTATGATATATCAAAAGTATGAAGCCTTAACGCCATATAAATGTAAGACCTTTATATGCGCATATGAATTGTAATTAGTTCATAATAGTTAGATAATTAATGTGTTAGTTTACTAATAACTACATGTATGAGTAGAATTTAGAATTTCAAATAATAACTACAAAATTGTTTTAAAGAATTATATTGAATTGCGCTAGAGAACTAGGTTATACAAAATAGGCTATCCCATAGTTGATTTGTGTCAATCACAATTTCATACTTATAGAATGTGTTGAAAATTTTCTAAGCAAGGGAAAAAAAATTGGTATATATGAAAATATTTTTATTAATAAAAAGAAGTAGATCTATTTTTTAAATAGAAATGTAAATCAGTTAGCATTATTTAATTAAAGTTCAAAAGAGTTTAAAATAACCGATTTTGGAAATTTTATTATAAAAAAATATCTTTCTTAAAAAAATTCAATTTTATCCCATCAACTTTGCTGCGTTGAACCAAATATTTCAAAAGTGTACACCTGCAAATTTTCTAACGTGTACAATTTTTATTCTTTCCATTTGATCCGGTATTAATATCTAACAAAAATTACCACGTTGAATTCTATAGATCATAACAAAAATTAATATAAAATGTTTATATGATTTTCTATTAATATCTAATAAAAATTATTACGTTGAATTCAAGAGAACATCACAAAAATTGATATAAAAATGCTCATATAATTTCAAGACGAAATTTTCATTAGAGTTTGATAAAAAGCAAACAATAAAAAGAAATATATAATTTAAGCGCTCACTAATTTGCAGGATAGAATAAAGATTATATAAATTTATATATTGATATTATTTGTTGTTTGACGAGTTAACATAATAAAATAAATTTATTATATTTACTCATTTTAGCATACTCACAAACTGATAATGTATCTTAAGGGAGACATGGATTAGAATTAAACAAAATATGATAGGTAACCATCACACACCCCTTCTGATTTCGATGTCCTTAGAATTTTGTTAGGAACGTGAAAGTCAGTCACAAGCACTGCAACCAAGAAAACAAAAATGAGTGAAAAAAAAAACTGACTAAAAAAAAAGAAATTCAAGAAAATGATGGAGAAAACCTATATGGATCAAGAACACGAGTTTTGTTCCGACCAGCCCAACTGGTTGGCCGAGTAGTTGTGCTAAATATCAAAAGCCCATAACCAAGGGTTGACTAAAGACCCTCCTCATCGAAGAATAGGTATCTCCACCATACCTTGTGCCCATTCCTCCCATACACAGGTAGCCATTGTGCACTGACAATGGCTGCCAAACGTTTTGCTTGAGCAAGACAGGCTACAACAGGCTACAATGGCTACATAGTCTCATCTCCCCATACTTTCTTCCTCACAAAGAAGCTCTTTCCTCACCTATTAATATCCCCTCAAACCCACAAAGATACATATATACAATATCACTATTTTTATAAGTTGTTACTCTGCCAACTTGAAGAGCCATATTGTAGCCATTAAACACCCTCCCTCATTGTTGCACACTGCACCTAGAACTTCCTTGCACAGCCTTGGTTCATACCATTTTATCCAGGACCTCCCTGCAGTGATCCTCTTACCCCTTTGGGTTACGTAAGTGACTCTCTCACCACACTAACAGTTCAAGTTTCATCTCTATTTCCAATGTGATGTGAATGTGTTGTAGAACTAGAACCTCTGATTTCAATAATCTTTGTTGAAGATTGCCTTTGTTTTGATAATTTACTTCTTGATTTGTGGTTGCCGGTGGCATCTTCTTTATCATGGTTGATGCCTAGTGTCTTTATTGTAGCCTTAATTAGAATAGTAAAGTGTGTTTCTGAGTGCAGACCTATGTGTGTGTGTCTAGAGGTGAAAAATTGGGTTGACACAACACGACACAAATTTGCCGTTAACACAAATACAATCAACACGAATATGACACAAATTTAAAAATAGACCAAAACTATCGACACGAACACGCCCTACTTATTTTGCGGGTTGACACAACATGACACGAATAATCTATAAAAAAAATCAATGCATGCCAATTTTATGTTTGTGTCTCACAACACAATACAAACTTTTTGGTGTCAGCTTTTTACAACATGAACATGACATCAATTTGAAAATAGGTAAACTCACACGATGTCATGTAAGCGGATCATGTTGAAAATTGTCACCCCTATATTAAGTCCTACACTTTGTATGATTTTTATTATAACAAACAAGTGATACCATGTTATTTAATATTGTATACTTTAAGTTTTGAAAGTGCGTTACGTTGGAGGATTTGGCACGAGATGATGTGTGAAGAAGAAAATGCATGCAATAGAACCAATAAATTATTGAAGTTAAACGGTTCATGGTTATCATGAAGTTCTGAAGAATGAAGAATAAATGGATACATCATAGATATCATACAAAGGGTTTACTAGATTAATTTTATCATTACTTTATTAATTGGAACTATTCTCGAACTAAAGAAGAGGGATAAGAGCATAAGAAAAAAAATAGAAAAAGAAGATAAGAGAGAAAATACGGATAATAGATAAGAGAGAGAAAAATACAAATAATAGATATAAGAGAAAAAAAAATACAGATAAGAGATAAAATAGAAAAAATAGAAACAAGAGATAAGAAATCATGTAGAAAAAAATAAATACAAGAAATGAAAGATTGCATATATCAAGAATAATATTCAAAACCAAGCTATGTCCGGTGACTTGTTTCACTGCAACTGTACATGAAACAAGGGGCAATTGCTATCTAGGCATTCTAGATCACTTTCTTCAATTTATTTTTTTTATTGGTTGAGTGATTTAATTTTTTTTCACTCTCTTTTGTTTTCTTGGTTACTATTCTCTTATGAGGGTTCGCCAAGGGCAAGTGCTGACAAGTTTCAAGAAGAAAAGCATAGGGTTACACTCAGGGATAAAAAAGTGTATTGTTTCATATCATATCTTAGTTCAATTAAAACCTAGATCTATCTTAGCATAGCTTGTTAGGCTATGAGTAGGCTAAAATAAGCCAATAAGATAACTAGGTAAGTTTATCATATTTTATTGACTCATCAAACATGAATAAAAATAAAATACGATAGTCTATCATATTCTATCTTTTTTATGATGTTCGCCATACAAAAAAAATTTAAAGAAAAATTCGTATTTTTGAAATTCTTAAAATTAAAATGTAGATTATCTAAATTAGGAGGGATGAATTAGAATTTTCCTATATTAATTAAGGAAACTCGTACTCTTATGTTGCATGTGATTGATCTCTTATGTTACTCTCACTTCGAAAAATGTGCCTCTCTTTTTCTTTTCTTTTCTTTTTCTAAAAATTGTGGGACCCACTTTATTTGTCTCTTATCATGAGAGAGCTTCTCTCATACAACATGAGAAAAGTAATCCCCATTAATTAAACTATAAATAATCTAAAATGATATGGTTTTAAAATAATAATTTATACCTTTTTCCAAAGTTGTCATGGTTCGATAATAATATTGGTTAGAAAGTAATGCAATTTGTCATTATTCCCACACAAATATCTAATTTTCAACTACTACTTCCACAAGAGAAAAACTTTAATGATACAATATACACATGTACCTAATTACATGCATAATCAAGTTTCTTCCCCCACTTTTCCTTATTAATGGAATACTTAAATCTTATTTATCAATAACAAAATGGATTATCCATTCTTTTATTAAAGAATAAAATGGAACTGGCCTTTATTTAATATATCTTGCACATATTTTTATAATTTTAGTTTATTTTGGGTTATATTTGTTTTTATCATGATAATTTTTTCCCTCCAATTGTGTGTGTGTGTGATTTTTCATTATTTAAATATAACTATAGCATTTTTTTAGTAAAAAAATTAGAAAAACAAGCATGGCGAAATTAATAAGATAAATAAAGAATTAAAAAGTGAACTATTATTACATTAATTAACTTTTTTAACTTAACTTTCCTCAACTAAAGCCTAAAAAGGGAGTACTAATTATTAAAAAAAATAAAAGATAATTCAAGTGTTAGAATTTTAAGTATTGGAGAAGAATTGAAAATTAGTTAGGCCTTGGTGGGTGAACTGAACAAACAAGCACCTCCTTTTAAAAAAAAAAAAAAACAGAGCCGTTTTCTTTTTTTCGGTTTCCCTTATGCGGCAAGAATGGAGAAAACTTCAATGCATCATAAGCATCGAACTCAGTGTTCTTTTTTACCGAAAAGTAAAAAAAAAATAGAATTTAAAGAGAAATATAAAAAAATATGGTTAGAAAAAAATTTCCTTTTTAACAAAAGGGAATACCGAATTCAGTTCTCCTAATGTATTAAGGGGACGTTTGGTACAGGAGAAATTTTTTTTTATTCGAGAATCTCGATTTTCAAAAATATGATTTTTACATTCAATTTATGATAATATCCGAAAATTTAAAATTTAAAAAAAAATAATTTCCTGAGAATCCGGAAAAATACTTCGTACCAAACGAATTTTTCTCTTTTTCATGGAAAATCGCATAACGTAGCAAAGGAAAATATTTTTAGTACAACCGTGAGTGTGAAATATTTTTAGTGCAACTCAATGCGGCGGTACTATTATAACTATGCATTATGACAAGTATATAGTTATAATATTAAAGTTATTTCTTTTTTTTCTCGACTTATAATCTTGTCAGTAAGGAAAAAAAAATATTTTTAATATTATAAATATATATTTTTCGTAATACACTAGTAAGAAGGTTGCACTACAAATGCTCTTGTAGCTGAGGGAGGGAAATTTCTTCACTGTACCATTGGATTTTCAGTATATCTTTTAATCATAATGTGACACGTGTTATTTTTTGTCAAATCATTCTCTTATCTAATATTAAAATAATTTATTCATTAATAATTTGATAAAAATAAAACACGTGTCACTTTATAAGTGAAAGATACATAAAAAATTCACTGCTACCGTAGCATCAAATATTTGTTCACGAGGGACCTGTTGCTGTTCACCAAAGTCACAATCTCTGACCTGTACCTGAACTCCACGTCAGTGTGCCACGTCATCACGTCACCCCTCCCCATTGTTCCATTCAAAAATATTTGTATAGCTATCACACTATACAAATAGAAAAATGAATTGAGAGAAGAACGAGGACTGAGTCATTTGCTTGTATGGCAAGTGTAGTGTGAAACGTGACATTGATGCACGCAACTTAGACTTCGTATTTTAAGGTTTCTGAGACGCAGAGCTGAGAATTTTCTATCTGGGTTGGCTCATTCGTGGGGGCCAAGAAAGTGAAAGAAAATCCAAGAAACTGTGAAAGAAAGTCCAAGAAACTCTCTTGGATTGTGGAATTCTGAGTGCATTAAAAAATATAATAGCCTCAAAGAGGCCATGTTCAGCAACTTTGATTGCACCACACAAATCACGGATCATCCAACTACAAGTTCAACAACATGCTTCCAGTCACAGACCCCATCAATGTTCTCTCTCTTTCTCTCTCTCTCTCTCTCTCTCTCTCTCTCTCTCTCTCTTTATCTGTCTTTGATCCTTTAATCCTTTCTTCTTTACTTTTTCTTTTACTGTGACACCCTTTTGCTTCATTTCTTCTTCAACAAGCTTATCTGCTGCCGACACATCCGTTTCTTATAGTACTCTTGAGTCTGTCCTATTGCCTTATGTAATCTATAGAAACCTTTCTCACGCCACTGCATTTGTTATGTATCTTTTGGTTGAAAAAAAAATTCAAGTCAACTTGGTCATTTCTCTTGTAGGCACAAGATTCAAGCTTTCCAAACAGAACAACAGTGGCGGGCAAAATAGTGAGAGGGGTCTTTCAGATTCTCTTCTACTTGCATTTGATCCTAATTGCAGGCTTGGTGATTTTCCTTATCACCTATGGTCTTATCTCCAACTCTCACACCCAGCATTTCCACCCCAGGAAATGGTACCCCCCACTTCTAGCATCAACAGCATGTGCTGGAATTGTTGGTTTCACATGGCAATGGATCACTGCCTGCCACCCCAAAAAGGCAGTTAGGGCAGCATTTTGGCTGAGTCCCCTACTAACATGTGCAATGGGAGTTTTGTTCCTGTTCATTGGCTCTGCTCTAGGTCTGGTAGCTGGTATAGTTGCTTTCGTTTCTGCAGTAATTCAATCCCTCTATGGTTGTTGGGCAAGTCCCAGATTTGAATATGCCACAGGAATCTTGTCAGTTTCAATAGCTTTTCCTCCTACTAAAACCAAGGGGTTAGCACTTTCATCAATCCTCATCAGTATCCTTTACTGCTGTTTTCTGGTGTCCGGGATTGGAGGAGCTAGAGCTATTGAAAACAGAACCAAACTAGCACCCCTTTTCATCTTGGTGATCCTGCTGAGCCTGGGATGGACTATGCAGTTTCTAAAGAATGCAATGCAAGTCACCATTTCAAGGGTCAAGTTCATGCATTTAGCTGGAGGAGTTGAGATGGACACTAGAGTGGCATTTCGTGACACAATCAAGCACTTAACTGGACCTGTTTCCATGGGCTCCATCCTTGTCCCCATCATTGGACTCTTTCGGGGTTTTGCAAGATCAACGAATCTGCTTGGAGGACAAGCAAGTGAGAGCATGTTTTCCTGTGTTAGTTGCTATATGAGGATTGCATCTCTTCTTGTGACCTGTGGGAACCGATGGGGTTTTGTGCACGTTGGAGTTTATAACAAGGGTTTTGTACAGGCATCTTCTGATACTTGGGAGATGTTCATCAGAGTTGGATTGGAGCAACTGATAGACTTAGATCTCACTGGGGCCTTCTGTTTCCTTAGTGGGGTTGCAGCAGGTGCAATCTGTAGCTTAGTGAGTGGAATTTGGAGCCTTTTAGTGCACAAAAGTTATGCCATGGAAGTGACCATTTATGCTTTCCTCATTGGCTATTTCATGGTAAGAACTAAGAACTATGTTGCATTTGAAAACTTGTATGCTTTCTTTCGCATCTACTCTATGTTGATTCTTAATAATCTTCTGCAGAATCGGTTGGCTATGGCATGGCCACAAGCATGTGTTTCAGCTTACTACGTTGCCTACGCAGAAAATCCAGAGAGCACTCAATTTGACTCGACTATTCCAATGCGCTTGGAGCAGCTTCAAAGATCTCAAGCTTTGCAATTAGCCCAAGCTAATAATTTTCAGCCGAGCCTAAACATTGAAGAGATTATTAACCAAGAAAGTTATATTATCCCCACAGGATAATATAATGCTGATCACATTGTTGGAAGAAGAATTTTACATTGTATATAATGATTTGATTTTGATGTAGTCTTCAATCATGATAAATCTTTATAATGTTGGTTCCTTATTCCATTTACATCAATATAGAAAGACAGATACATACAATGTACACCCGCTCCATATAGGGTTTATAGTCATAGCTGACAGAATACAATCGAGTTGCAATTTTTACAAAAGAGGCTGTTTTGTATATTTGAATCGTAGGAAAAAAAAAAATTAGTTAAACAAATCAAAGGGACATTAAATCGTAGGAAATTCTTCATTGAAGAAATAAATCAATTATATTAACTTTCATGTAAATTTATTAGAGACAATTATTTGTGTGACCAAATAAAATACTTTGGGAATCCACATAATTAAGAATAAATATGACAGCAGCCTGAGTTTTAGCTCACGTGGTTGGGAATGGCGGAGTTTAGGTAGATATCATAGGTTCCAACACCCTACACCTCCATGATTTTCATAAAAAAAAAAAGAATAATTATGACATACAAGCAAAACCAACCAAAACATTACGTATTGGTGACACAGCAAAATTCCAAAAAGACATACATAGATCATTTGGGTCACAGATGACCTCGTCCACCACATTCTGTACACATCATATTACCAGTTCCCCCGCAACCTACATGGAAACAGTTATCAAATTAAAACATAGTCACCAATAAAGATGCTCAGCATCATACAATTAGATAATAATAATAATAATAATAAGTAAAATTTCACATCAAGTTTGCACCACGTATGGTACAATCTTATTTAAATTCAAGTTATACCTATTCTCTACATGTCAAAATGATTTAAACCTTTTCAAAATTGTTTGATTCAAAGTCCTCACAAATTCTCAAGCCCCAGTTGCTCATCTAACCATTACAAAAACTGTACAAATCTAAGCTAAAATTGGCCATCCACAAAATCCAGAAGTTCCATCAGAGAACTGCTTCTAGACATAAGTGACAAACACAACACCAAATACAAAAGGCTATAAATACAGTTGAAACACAAGCAAGGTGCAGAAGATTCAGCAGCACACATATATCTAAGCAGAAGGGCTGTTTGAACTGGAAAGAGAATATACCTAGGCAACGAACTTTAACAATTATGCCCTGGCTTTCCAATATGGAGTCAACATATAGACCAGAACCAGCACAAGTGGCACAAAGAATAGCACCTTTGGCTTGGCAATCAGTACATCGAGGATTGTTACCAATAGCTTTCTCAGCCAATGATAACCCAACAGGCTTCTCAATCCTTTCTTCTGGGATAGCCTTGTCATAGCAAAACAGAGATTCAAGATTACTTCTTTTTCTGTTCTCATCTGCCTTTAAACTCGACACAGACTGAAACATAAGGAAATAGTTAGCTGTGTCATCCATTAAACAAAGACCAAACTTCTGCGTAAGTTAGTGGAAAAAGCTCTCTAATCTCATTGAATAACCATCAAAGGAACACAGCCCCTTATGCCTCATCAAGAAAAATTATCTAGCTTTTACAACATATTACCCTTTCTGAGCCTTTATATAGAAGCATGTAAGAGAATTTTATCTTAAATGTATACAAAGCCTTAAGACATTTTCGCTCTAAAATCACAAAAACTGTGGGAGATAACTCCAGTTTTATAGCAAAGGTATAGGCACTAAATTAAGAGTATGTCAAAATTGTCAATAATGGGGGAAAGGAAGCCCTGAATGTCTCAATATACAAAGATTTGTAGATCTTCCTAAAAAGAAAAAAACCAAAGCATTATGCAAAAAGACCCTCCTCCTTCTTCTAAAACAACCTGAAAGAATGATATCTACATTTTCCTAAAATCACTTCAATAGAAACATTAAGAATAATTCTAAAAAAAGCTTGACCACTACATTTGTCCTCAAAGGAAAGCAGAACATTAGCAACTCTTTCATAAAATCTTGAGCAATAAAAATTTATATCCAGCAACTAATAGTAATATGTAACATACTGAACACTAAAAGGTTTAATCCAATAAAACACCAAAATATTATATTTTACTTGCTTATTGTGCATAACAGATAAAAATTATAGGCATGGTGCATAAAACTGGAAATGAAAAGGAAATTTAAAAAGGAAAAAAAATTAAAAATCAAATATGAAGAAATAGCTTTCCATGGTAACATTTAAAAAAACGATGAGTGTGACTAACCCGGCGCGAAGTGTAGCTAGAGGCAGAGCCATTGGGGGGAAGAGCATGAACTTTGAAATTGGACCCAAAATTCAGGGTCTTCTTGAGACTCGAAACCTTCACCGCGGAAGCATTTGGGCAAAGAACAAATTTTGATGTCGCCATTTGCAGAGTAGCTGAATCCATCGATGCCCAATAAACATTCACAGCTCAAATTGTTCACGCAACCATTTTCCTCGAACTAATCGATCGTTTCAGCAAATGGGACTTCTCGTAGTTCACGTCACAGACCCGTGGGTCGTGGATCAAGTTCTTCACCCGAATTCGGATTCGGTTTACCAGTTAACAAAGCCCATTATTCGATTAATAGTGGGCTTGTGAGCCCATTGAACAAGAAAGCGTAAAATGACAAAGGTTAATCCCACTAAAAACATGACTCTGAATGTTCAGGACTTCAGGATGTATATGATAAAAATATTTCAATAAAAAAGTTTTTTTTTAGTTTTTAATTTTGAAAATAGAAAGAATTAAAAATTAAGTTGGAAAAATCGATTATCCATTTTTGGACACAAAAATAAAAACAATTCTTTTGACAAAAAATATATTATCCAAGGAAAAAGATCCGTTTACAAAAAAAATTTATAAATTTTTACAAATTACACTATGTACTTCCGGAAATACATAGTGTACTTTCGGAAGTACATAGTATAATTTGTAAAATTTGTAAAAAATAATTATAAATATAACTCTCCTTATTATTTAATATATATATATATTATTTTTCTTCTGTTCTGGATCTATTCCTCATAAGATTATAGGCACAACCAACTATAAGGAAGGAAACAAAGTTACCATGCATATCTTGACAATCTCGCAACTATTTAACACATGGGAATTAAGACCAACTGCTCATGTGACTACACGGCATAAGCTCTGCAGTGCACTAGAACCAATGGCTTTAAGACAGGCACTTACATATTGCTATATCTACAAAGGTATAGTCTACCATAAATATCTCGCCTAAAGAATAGCTTTTGAAGATTATTGCTGACTATCAATAAAAATGAACACCGCGTATTAAAGTGACATAAGCATGAGGCTCATGTACTATAAATACAAAATAAGCTCAGATATGATAATCTTCACATTAATACTTGAATATTTTGAACAATTACTAACTTTAGCAGCGTCGTAATACTTTGCAAATACCCTTTCCAATCTCCTCAAACTGCTCCTAAGCACCACTACCAACTCAAACATCTCACAAAGTATCTCGGCAACGAATTTAGCATTCCGCAAACAACACATCAACCCAAACACAACTCAAAGTAGTATATAAATTTTGGTAAAAGAATAAGAGCACAACTTGAAGTCATATTTTGAGCAGATTTTGACATTTGGATGATAAAGCTCGCTGAAATAGCTGAATGGGGACCCAGTTAAGCTGTTAATTAATTAGGCTAGAAAGGCATGAATTTAAGAACATGATCATAGGGACATGTAAAGTGCTAAGTTGCAATATTAAGATGTCGAAAGCCTATAAATAGCAAGCAGGAAGACAGAAACAACGATCCCAAGTTTCGCCAAACACAAAATCTATTCAATTTCTTCATTATTGTTCTTTTTCTTTTAGTCGTGTACTTGTTTTCCATTCATTCTCCGACCATTATAGCTTTCTTTTATGTTTCAGCTAATTTACCCTCTTTGCTTTGATTCTTGCTTTTAGCACATGCTTACCGTTCCATACATTAGGTTTGGGCTCTCTAGCTAAGTGATCACTCTTGTATACGACTATGTTTGTATCATAATATCAAATTGACTTTAGGTTACAATTACCTTTTATTTTTTTTGGGAAAAATGTAAATATATATTAACCCAAAGAGATATACAAAATAGACGGGGCATACCCCGCAAAATCAAATACAACATATGCACTCAGTGCAAAAGCCTAAGCTAGTCCACTATGAGCATGTGCCTAATACAAATGAGTAATATGAGCGTGTCTATAAACAAGAAATTTAATCTTGTTAGTAACATCATCAACCAAAAAGGGAATATGCTCAAATATAAGCAAATTTCTAGCCAACCAGATACAATAAACTGTCAATGCTATCACAAGGCAACGAGTCTTCCCCAAGGTGCCAGAGAGAGCTCTCGCACGCACAAGGTGGCTGACACTGCCCTGAAGAGAGATGAAGCTCCGCGTAATAGGAGACCACTCGCGCACCATCTTCCAAACACGGATGACAGTGGGGCAACGAAAAAATAAGTGTGCATGAGACTCCTCCATCGTGCTGCACAGGGGGCAAGACGGATCTATCTCCAAGAAGGGAGCTCTATCCAAAGTAAGAAGCTTACCCTTCATGGCTAACCAAAAAATGAACGCCGCTTTGGGGGGGAGAGCTGGGTTCCAAACTACCTTATGCCAAAACACCTTCGGCTTAGGCAATCTGAAATATGAATAAGCTTTGCTAGCCTCAACAGCATTATCACGTGTCCAGGACCCGAGAACAAGTAGCGCCCCATCCAAATGTAGCTCAACGTCCAAGATAATATTCCTAATCAGAATTATTTTCTTGAGCAAAGGTGAATCCGAGGAAGATGGAGCATAGTCCCAAATATTTTCCCCCTGAAGATATTGGCTGTGGACCCATTTAATCCATAAGGAATCTTTTTTGGAATGAATGTCCCATAAAGTCCTAGAAAGCAATGCAAGATTCCACTCCTTAAGGCTGAAGAGACCAAGGCCCCCTTCATGCTTAGGAGAGCAAATATCCACCCAAGCAACCAGCGACTTAGACATACAATTATTCGGCTTTCCCCACAAGAAGTTCCGGCAGATAGCATTAATCCGGTTTATAACAGAAACTGGGAGAGGAAAAATGCCCATCCAAAAATTAGTAATGCCCTGGATGACGGCTCTGATGAGCTCAAGCTTCCCAGCATAAGACAGAGTCTTCCTATTCCAACTTTGCACAAGGCCCAAAATCTGAGATAAAAGTGGATCATAGTGAACGACATTTAATCTAGAAGAGAGCAGAGGCACACCAAGATACCTGAACGGGAAAGCTCCCAACTCAAACCCAGTGAGACGCTGCACCTCTGATATAGAGTCCGGATCCATACCAGCAGAATAAATGGCTGATTTATCAGTACTGATAGAGATACCCGAGACAGCACAAAAATGAGACAGCCTAGCATATAAAGTGGCTATAGAAGGCACATCTCCCCTAGAGAGGAGCATAATATCATCCGCAAAAGCCAAATGGGAAATATTTAGGTCACAACAGGCCGGATGAAACTGAAAGTTTATATTATCCTTGAGGCTACTCAGATCTCTAGACAGATACTCCAGACAGAGAACAAAGAGATAGGGGGAAAGTAGATCACCTTGTCTCAGACCCCTACCACCTTTAAAGTGACCATGTACTGCTCCATTAACCAAAACACTAAATGAAGTAGATGTGACACACTCCATGATCCAATTCGTGAATCTGGAAGGAAACCCAACCGAGACAAGAACCCAATTGAGAAAATTCCAAGATACAGAGTCATAGGCTTTATGAAGGTCCACTTTCAGAAGGCAGCGAGGGGAGATCCTCTTTCGGGCATACTTTCTAAGAAGCTCCTGGGTGAGGAAAATATTATCAATCATGTTCCTGTTCTTTAGGAATGCAGTCTGAAAAGGACTAATAATTTTTTCAAGCACAGGAGCAATACGATTGGCAAGAATCTTGGAAATAATTTTATACAAAATGTTGCAACAAGATATTGGCCTATAATGCTTCACATGACTGGCCTGATCAGACTTGGGGATAAGAACTATGAAAGCATGATTTAATTGCTTGAGTAATTTCCCTGAAATAAAGAACTCATTCACAGCATCAAAAATATCATCACCCACAATGCTCCAAGCTTTTTTAAAGAACCGAGAGCTGTACCCGTAGGGCCCAGGAGATTTATTATCATCCATAGAAGAAAGGATATTCCACACATCTAATTTAGCTATTGGAGCAAGTAAATCGTTAGAGCAGGAGCTTGGAACCATTGCACCTGCTTCACAAATAGCCGAGACAGGGGGGCTGTCAGTAGGGTGAGCTTGAAACAAATTACTGAAATAATTAACAAAGGCTCCAGCAATCTGCGGTTGAGAAGACGTAGATTGCCCACTTGGAAGAGTGATGGCAGCAATAAATCGAGCATGGTGGGACCTTTTAACATAAGCATGGAAGAAGGCAGTACACTTCTCCGCTTGGGTAAGATACCGGTTCTTCAGTAATTGGGCAGTTTGTGAATGCTCAGCTTTACGTAAATTCATAATTTGGTGTCTGCTCTTGTCTGCAACGCATAACAGATTTGGGTCTCTGGGTTTAAGCTGGAGAGCAAGGAGCACGTCATTATATTCAGCCTCAGCTTGTTCAATCTTTGTTGACAGGCCTTTGAGTTCCAAACTAGCAAGAGATTTCAACGGACCCTTTAATGCTTTCAATTTCTTACACATAACCCACATCTTGCAGCCCACCAGCTGCTGGTCCCAACTAGAAGAAACTACCTCCAGGAATTGAGGCAGCGCTGCTATGGCATTGTTGAACCGGAAGGGACACTTGGCTCTCACAAAACTAGTATTGGTATTAATAGTCAAGGAGGCATGGTCAGATACTGATTCAAAACCCGAGACTTCACAACTAGAATTTGGAAAATTAGCACTCCAACTAAGGTTGCAAATGGCTCTATCAATTCTGCTCCATATCCTCCCATTCGTCCAAGTAAAGAAGGATCCATGGGAGGTAAGATTGGTCAAAGCCAAATCAGTACAGCAATCAGTGAAGTCTTTGGTCTCATAGGCTGTTACTTCCGAACCATGTAACCTATCTTGAGGAGATAAGATGCTGTTGAAGTCCCCCAATATTAGCCAGGGGGTGTCAACGGACGGAGCTAAATTCATCAAAGAAGACCACATGGCTCTCCTGGCCAAAACAGAATGCAGCCCATACATAAAGGTGATCAGGAATTTTGTGTTGGTTTCCTTACACACACAAGAGCAATGCATAGTTTGGGCTGTACAACATAAAACAAACAAGTCAGATTTGTTGGGTTTCCAAAGCAAAATAATCCTACCAGCATTATGAGAGTTGAAGTTATGAAAGTAGCTCCAATCCTTGAATTTTCTTTGCATTATATTATTTACAGAATAAGCATCCAGTTTTGTTTCCAAAATGGCCATGATATCAATCCCTTTAGAATTGATAA